GGTGATAAACTACGTGATATATCTTCTGCAGTGTCCTTCTTTTCTGCCTCGAGCAGCTTTTCCCTGTATCAAGTGTTGCCCTGAAGGATTCTCATCGTGGTCCCTATTCGTGCTATCTTGCACTTGCTGAGGTGAAATCTATAAGCCATTTTTCCGACTAGGTCTGTAGCTTCTCTAGGTGGTCGTGAGGAGGGGGGGGGGTCATCAAACGTTGCTTTTCTTCCTTCCTTCATTCCTTCCTTCCTTCCTTCCTTCCTTCCTTCCTTCCTTCCTTCCTTCCTTCCTTCCTTCCCTTCTTTCTCCTTCTTTCCTTCCTTCCTTCCTTCCTTCTTTCCTTCCTTCCTTCCTTCATTCCTTTCCTTCCTTCCTTCCTTCCTTCCTTCCTTCCTTCCTTCCTTCTTCCTTTTCCTCCTCCTTCCTTCCTTCCTTCCTTCCTTCCTTACCTCCCTTCCTTCCTTCCTTTCCTTCCTTCCTTCTTCCATTCCTTCCTTCCTTCCTTCCTTCCTTCTCCACTACCACACCTCCCTGGGTTTCGTCTCCAAGCGAAGCCCACTGTGCTCTGGGGAGTAATCTGATCACCGTGAAGCAATGATTGAAGCTCACCGTGAAGCAGTAAAGCTGATCGTGAAGCATATATAAAAGATATCTAACCAAATAAATTTTATATATATATATATATATATATATATATATATATATATATATATATATATATATATATATATATATATATATATATTATTCAGGGTTTCCTGTTATTTCTATAATTAGCATAATTTCACTAATTAGTTCACAATTAACTGGTAACGAGCAAATTTGAATAGATTGTCTGGAGGTTGTTGTTGTTCGAGTCAGCTAAGGATCTTAGTGTGTAGGTGGAGGTATATACTCACCTGTTTGTACTTGCTTAGTTAATGTGTGTGTATCAGCATGTATATATATACGTGTGTGTGTGTGTGAGGGTTGATGGGTATGCTTGGGGTCCTTGTGTCCAGTGTGTCGCCTCAAGTCTCTTGTATCTGCATCTCGAGTAGGCAGGAGGCACCTATTACCATCTTCTAAGAATGTGGCCTGTATGAGAGAGTGTGTGAGAGAGACGTAGCCGCCTCCGCCACGGTGAACGCCCTGGGAGTGGCGCGGCAGCAACCGTCTCCCTAGATACCCCTGGAGAGCGTGTTGACTACGCCTTCCCTCCCCCGCACCTATCTACCACTGACCTCGTATCTATTTTAGACTTTAATACTCGCATCTGCGTCCGCGGACACCCACTCTCCCACTTTGTGTGTGTATGTGAGAGAGTGAATGTGAGAATAAGTGAGTTAGAGAATGAGAGAATGAGAATGTTGGACCATAGAGACTTCACGTCAACAGAGACAAGTATCAGGTGAGGGACGACATAACAGTGAATTTGTCATGTTGTGCAGCAGCAGACTGTCATGTTAGCATCAAAATATTTGAAAGATGGAAATAAAATACATTTTCAGACTGCAGAAATAGGACGTGTTACAAATTCAATGAAAGACTGTAGAAATGGGAGAAGACTTCTGTGAGCTACAAGTCTGGCCAGAGACGTGGAAAAAAACAGTTCAGTGTAAACAAGGGTAAATGTGGAACTTTCGGTAAATGAAGTTGCACTAAATATCAGCTCATTATTGGGGATATTGGTCAATAATTTAGGAAGGTTTCTGGAAATTAGTGATGCCTAAAACCATGACGGCCATATATTAACGTGCGTAATAGTCAGTGACGTTCATATTTTGATATCTAAAAGTTATCGGCAATACACATGTTATCTTCCTTCACTTGGTGCTAGTGAGGCTTCACTCGGGTTATGGTGTGCACCTCTGTTCACCGTTCTTCAAAGTGAACACAACATTCTCTTGAGAACATGTAACGAAAAGTGTCTAAACCGTCAGGCTGCTTACGAAGCCTGATGAGGATTTGTAATTATAACTATCAGAAGAAATTGCAAAGCCAGGAGGACAAATCCATAAGGGCCGTGATGAGGGTTCGAACCTCGTCACGGAAATATGGCAGCCTCTCTAAGCACCGAATTTACCGCCTCCTGCAAGATGCTGAGGGAGATGTGCTCAAGCAGACAAGTGAATGCAAGGCATTAATGGATGTAAACAAGGTCCTGAAAGTTCCAAGATATTACGGTACCAATATATTTATATTTGACTTATTTAATTGTAAAAAAAATGATAATTTTTTTTAGCAAATACAGTTGGAAACAAGTGGGAAAATATGTCTTCATAACTTCAACATATTGGATGGATAAATACACGAGTGACGTCAATTTACTATATATATAGGACAGGCCTAAAATGGGTAAATTTTACTACCACAAAGATTCTAAATAATTTCGTAACGCGTCTTTGGATCCCTGTAGTGATGAGGGCTTTGGTCTTGAGTGAGGCGGGATAGATTATTTACGCGCGTGGGAGGGTAGAAATAGCCTAAGCTACTCTATCCCTTTGAGACGTATTTCTTTCTTGTCTCAATAAACATACTTGAATCTACTCGCGTGTTCTGGGGGAGTAGGCGTGAGGGACCTCAGGTGGGTGGACGATGGGGGTGTGTGGGGAGCTTAGAGAACACCCACACTAGTCACTTGAAGGTCGAAAGGTGGGGCCCTGTAGCTGAACATCGATCGTCGAAAGCACTCGAGAGCTAACTGGCTGCGAGCAGATACAGTGAACAGTTGACCTTTGCTACGGAAATAATGGTTTCATGTCGGATGAACGCGCAGGTAGACACGGGCGTGGGTGGGGAGGGTTGTGGACGGAGAAGGTTGGGACAGGGAAGGTTGTGGGTAGTGAGGGTTGTGGACGGAGAGATTGTGGGCGGGAACAGCAGTAGCATTTGTGGGTAAGATGCCAGAGTGGAAGTCAAAATGAATGAAGGACAGGTGAAGAAAAGAGAGGTGTGAGTGAAACAGAGAAAAGTGAAAGCAGTGAAATTCTGAAGAGAAAGCGCTAAGCCAGGCTAGCGCTTGGAAGGGATACGAGGAGAGGTTAGGAGCTGGGATACGAAGAGAGGATAAGAGATGAGAGGCGCATCTCGTGAGAGAGAGGTGAGATAGATCTTAAGCGTGAGAGAAGAGAGGCGATAATTGAAAAGAAAGATGCAAGAAGAGATAAACAAGCAGCAGAAGAGAAACATAATGGAAGAGAGATATATGGATGCAGGAGCAGCTAAAAGCCATGTTAAAAAAAAATAGGGTAAATTAAAAATAAGACGTGTTGAGAAAGAGAGAATTTTTGGCGTGAGGGGAACATTCATGAGAAACGAAGAGAATGTGATGTTAGGGGTTGTGGTAGGCGTGATGTTTATAGTGGTTGTGGTAGTGGTGGCGATGTTTATAGTGGTTGTGGTAGTGGTGGCAATGTTTATAATGGTTGTGGAAGTGGTGGCAATGTTTATAATGGTTGAGGAAGTGGTGGCAATGTTTATAATGGTTGAGGTAGTGGTGGCAATGTTTATAATGGTTGAGGTAGTGGTGGCAATGTTTATAATGGTTGAGGTAGTGGTGGCGATGTTTATAATAGTTGTGGTAGTGGTGGCGATGTTTATAGTGGATGTGGTGACGATGTTTATAATGATTGTAGTAGTGGTCGTTTTGGTAATGTTTATAGTGGTTGTGGTAATTATGGTGGTATTGAAAGGAGTGATAATGATAGGGGTAAAGATGAAAGGAATTTCGGTTGAAGTTGTTGGTGGTGGCAATGGTAGTGAGGAAAGATCCCAGTGAACTCGAGAGTAAGTGACATGAGAAGGGGGCAGGTCATTTAAAGGGAGTGTCACCATGAGTTGGGGTGGACGAAACGCACAAGTGAAAGACAGAGAAAGGTTGAGAGAGAGAGAGAGAGAGAGAGAGAGAGAGAGAGAGAGAGAGAGAGAGAGAGAGAGAGAGAGAGAGAGAGAGAGAGAGAGAGAGAGAGAGAGAGAGGAAGATGCAGTCTTATCTAGGTAAGGAAGAGAGGTATTATAGTGCTAACACCAGAAGACATGTAGAATGTATACTTAATTATGTTGTGAGTCAAGCATTTGGCATTCAATTACGATTCTATTATTGATATCTCTTTCAGTGCTTATATATATATATATATATATATATATATATATATATATATATATGAAAGAACCAGTGGGTCCCAGACAATGGGCGGAGAGAGAGAGGGGCGGGGAGCCGTCGCCAAGAGGGACTGGTGTGATATTTACTCTCAAAACTCCAGTGACGCTCGAGTTCTTTGTCGAATTGACATTAAAATTGTGCATGGAGATGGCTTCCAACACTTCTTTCCAGCTTGGTGTTGGTGGTGATAGTGGTTGTGGTAGTAGTAGTGGTGACATTCCTCCCTCACGACTGCCCGGGCCGGCGCAGTCACCAGAACTAGGGGCTCCATAACAAAATAACTTCGCAATGAACGAAACACGTAATCAGTCGACCAGCTTCAAGGAGCTCCATTAGAGAGAGAGAGAGAGAGGGAGGGCGCGTGGCCCCCCTGCACCTGGCCCTCTCCTTCTTCCCTTCCTTCCCATAACCCGCCTCTCACCCCTGTCAACCAACGCAAGTCGTTCTTCCGTTTTTTCTAACTTGGTTTTCTGCTTGTACTTTTTCTTCTTCGTTTTTTTTTTGTATTTTCATTCGTCCTCCACCGTACTCGTCGTCCATGAGACCTTCATAATGTTACGTCTGCAAGTATGAGTGACGAGGGGAAGGGAACTGTCAGGATAAAGCGCCAAGCCATTACGACTATATAGCACTTGGAATTGGGATCAGGATACGAATTTGGGATGGGACGAGAGGCAGGAGTGGTGCCCAACCACTTGGACGGTCGGGGATTGACCGCCGTCCCAAGTATGTTTATTGAGATAAGCAATAAATACATCTCAAAGGGATAGAGTAGCTTAGGCTATTTCTACCCCCTACCGCCGTCCCGACCAGCATGAAGTGACACCGTCGCTCTACCATCCACTCTCTCGTTCTTCGCCAGGGTGATGGCGACCACCTGGCAGCGGAGGCGCAGCTGGCGGCCCTGCAGGAGCAGCTGGTGGCGGTCATGCTGGAAAATCAACACTTAGGTGAGTACTTATACCCGTCAGCGTTTCTCCTGTGGGATTACCTGTATTGGGAATAGTGTTGTGGAGGAGTTGTGCTTGTGTGTACGTGTTCACACGTGAACCACGAGCGTGAAGAGGACTTCTTGGGATAGGATATTTGAGTGTGTGGATGACAGATTGGACAAATATCCTAGCTCTTTGGGTGGATGGATGTGTGGATAACCAGCTGAGGATTAGGCTAGCTGTGTGGACGGGTGGGTGTATAGATGCCTGAATGTGTGTGTGTGTGGCTACGTTTGTCCCTTCTAATTGTACTTGTTGTAGTGACAGCTATATTTTCTCGACAGCTGAGGAGGTGAAAACGCTGAGGGAATCTAGCGCCTCGGAGCAGCTCCGGCAGCAGCTGGAAAGAGAGAGGGAGAAGAGTCGTATACTGATGGAGAGACTGCAGGAGAAGGAAGCAAAAGAGAAGGAAAGGGGAGAGAGGGAGGCGAGGGAAAGGGAACGACACACCAGGGAAAAGAGCTTCCCGCCAGGAGACAAGTCCCCCAGGTGAGAGGTTTGGAGGGAGGGAGAGAGAGAGAGAGAGAGAGAGAGAGAGAGAGAGAGAGAGAGAGAGAGAGAGAGAGAGAGAGAGAGAGAGAGAGAGAGAGAGAGAGAGAGAGAGAGAGAGAGAGAGAGAGAGAGAGAGAGAGAGAGAGAGAGAGAGACCAAGACCGAGAGAGACCGAGACATACCCAGTGTACACATGTGTGCTTTCATGTGTGTGAGTATACGTTTGTACAAATCTAAACTTTATATATGTGCAAGCAGACACATATATATTGTGCATATATGGATGAGTCCCTCGCCACCATCCCGTCCTTACGAGATCTTTCTTAACATCATTACGCCGCTACAGTTTAGACACATTGCGTTTACGGTGTGTGCCTGCTGTGAGGCCTTACGTGTTACGTAAGGCCTTAATTACCTTAGTGTAGTTACAGGATGAGAGTTACGCTCGTGGTGTTCCGTCTTCCCAATTATCTGTCATATGACTTGTAGAAACTTCTGACGGTGTGTGTGTGTGTGTGTGTGTGTGTGTGTGTGTGTGTGTGTGTGTGTGTGTGTGTGTGTGTGTGTGTGTGTGTGTGTGCATGTGTGTGTGTGTGTCAGTGCGAATGTGTGTCAGTGCGAATGTGTATAAGTATATATGTTTTATTAACATTAATTTAACAAAAATAACATTTCAATTTCATTTAAGTTTAACCTAAAACACTAATTGTAACATCTTTGGTGATATAAACACACGCTTCAGTTTCTTGTAGCTACAGTATTACAATTACTGTTAATTACTGAACCTTTTGGTTATCATATCCTCAGTGCCGTGGATACGTCACTTACTCAGTGACGAAGGATATCCTTCGGTGTGTCACCGAAGCTCAACCGCATCTAGAATGGAATTAAAGTTTTGCCTGTAGCAGAAGCCTGAAGTGTGCATTTAGCTCACCAAGTTTTTCATTTGTGTGTCTGAATGTGTGGACTGTTTACTAACCTCCGTACTAACCTCACCCCTCCCAGCTTGCCCCAGCGAATACGGAAGCGAATTAACCAAATCCACAAACCACAGTCCTTTGAGGTCGAGGATGGGTCCCCCGGTCCGCCCCATCCCCCATTTAGCGAGAAGACGCGCCTCCACGGGGAAGAACGGACCAATCCCAGACCAGCACCAGAATCGCCAGCCAGTCAAATTGTAAAGTACGGAGGAGAAGCTGCCAGTCCCAAGTCGAGTTCTCCGTTTGATGTTGTTGAGTTAGTGTTTTTACCCATCCGTCTTTCTCTTTTTCTCTTATTGGTCAGAATTCCTGTTTTATGCTCTGTGCTGGCCAGATGCAGCAACGGTTGCCGGAGATACGACAAAGTGGCTTTGGTCGCGAGACAAGAAGCCTGTTAGACTCAAAGAGAACCCCCCGTAGTTAGTGCAACTGCAAACCTTCCCCCAACATGCAGCCTGAACAGTTGCTTAACTCTCAGATACCTATTACTTTTAGATGAATCAAGGTATCAGATGAAAGGACACGCGCCTGCCACGGAAATCGAATTTGTGACATTCCAGTTGTGGACCGTTTGTGCTGACCAATGCACTAGAACACTACTATGGTGACAATTTCGTTTGTATAGTGAATGACCATGGATTACGCTCTCAGGCTTCACTGTCTGGGGACGTGACAGTGAAATGTATTACAGTGAGACGTGCATTATACGGTAATATAGTATAGAAATCTATTTGCCCGAATTTTCGAATCATCTCTCAACCCGTTCTCAGACGAAGTCCATTCCATCCAGCGGTCGACTACAAAGACGCATCCATAAAATTGAACATGCTGTTCATTCAAAATTGGAATTTCTTAAATGCTTGGGTTCCAATTCTCAAAGTTTCTAGTTTTGGGCTTTCAACCTCCAACCCCCCCCCCCCCCTCAACCTCCACTTGGTAGGATCCGAACCCCAAGCAGGAGTCAAATTCTGGCATCATGGCGACGTCACACACCTCATGCACGCCACATATCAAACTATTTTTTTTATTTCTTATTCTTGTTAGGTTAGGGTAAGAGGGTTAGGTTTACTTAAAGTAGTGATAATATAAGAAAGGTGGAATAAATGTCTCGGAGTCTTGGCAAACTTTTCTCAGGCTAGGCTCGTTAAAGTGACGGCTGTCTTCCCATACCGTCCAAGACACATTTATCTACTTTAATTAATTAACATTTTATGCATTCAAATATGTTTCTTTCCTTATATATATATATATATTAAGATTGTCGTATATTAATGTTCCATGTGTAGTTAGGCATGGATTAGGTGTTTAGGCTATTAGTTATTTATGAAGTACGTGGGGGAAGCGTTGAGAGCATTACAGTTACAATTCGAACAGAGGTCGTCAGCGAAGCACTGATTGAGAAATGTTCGAACGTCATCAGTTGCCAGTTGTGTGTAAAGCGGTTTTCATTCATAAACGGGGTGTTGGTGGCTGCATAAATCCTCTTTGGGCCCGTGTTGATGAGGATGGGCTAGTCTTAGTAATAGAGGTCTAATGAATTAAACTCATTTTCCAGAGCTATTAGACCGTAATCAGCTGTGAGTCCTGCTAAAGATGTGAGCAAACCAATGCTCGTGTATCGTTCGGACATACGAGTACACAGGATTTTTCTGCGACTAACGTCAATTGACGTTTAACCAATTAGAAAACCAAGAGAATCAATTTGATTATAAACCCCCTAATATTACCAAGGTCTGGCATCTCTCTATCATGATAATAAACTTTCTTATCATACATATAAAGTTTTTAATTAGAAGAACGCTTGACACTTGTGACATCAGTGTCACAACACCCAGTGTCACAACACCCAGTGTCACAACTCCCAGTGTCTGACCAGATCACACACTAGGTGTAGTGACGACGACGTTTCGGTCCGTCCTGGATCATTCTCAATCGACTTGAGAATGGTCCAGGACGGACCGGAACGTCGTCGTCCCTTCCCCTTCTAGTGTGTGGTCTGGTCAAACTACTTCAGCCACGTTATTGTGACTCATCGCCTGCACTCCCAGTGTCACAACAAGTGTCACAATAAGTGTCACAACACCCGGACACAAAAATCACCGTCGCCCTCGCCAGTAAAAATCGGCTATAGCTATCGCTTGTGCCTCGGTTTTGGCAGCTTTTTTTTATTTCTTCAATTATCAATTTTTGTATATTTTTCCAGATCTTTTTGGCTGTCTCTCATGCATTATTTGCTTTTGTTTTGATTTAAGTCGATTGATGTAGAACTGCATACCCAGAACTTGTTTTTCGAAAATATACCCATATATCTGGTTCTCTTTAGAAAGGTGACCCAATACCACTATGTAAAAGTTTTTGTCTCTGGGTACGTAGTGTTATTTTCACATTGCTTGTGCTTCCAAAGTGTAGACAATTTGTTACATAATGGAATTAGTCCACTTTTGCTAAGTAAAGCCATTACCCAGTCCTCTTCGAGAAGGTAAACCAATAATCATATTCTTAAGAAAGGTAAACCAATAACCCATTCTCTTAGGGAAGCTAAACCAATAACCAATCATCTTAGGGAAGCTAAACCAATAACCAGTCCTCTTTGGGAAGCTAAACCAATAACCAGTCCTCTTTGGGAAGCTAAACCAATAACCAGTCCTCTTTGGGAAGCTAAACCAGTTAGACGTCTTCTTAGGGAAGTTAAACCAATAACCAGTCCTCTTTGAGAAGCTAACCCAATAACCAGTCCTCTTTAGGAAGCTAAACCAATAACCAATCCTCTTTGGGAAGCTAAACCAATAACCAGTCCTCTTTAGGAAGCTAAACCAATAAGAAGTCCTCTTTGGGAAGCTAACCCAATAACCAATCCTCTTTGGGAAGCTAAACCAATAACCAGTCCTCTTTGGGAAGCTAACCCAATAACCAATCCTCTTAGGGAAGTTAAACCAATAAGCAGTCCTCTTTAGGAAGCTAAGCCAATAAGATGTCCTCTTTGGGAAGCTAACCCAATAACCAATCCTCTTTGGGAAGTTAAACCAATAAGCAGTCCTCTTAGGGAAGTTAAACCAATAACCAACAGTCTCTTTTGGGAAGTTAAACCAATAACCAACAGTCTCTTTTGGGAAGTTAAACCAATAAGAAGTCCCCTTAGGGAAGTTAAACCAATAACCAACAGTCTCTTTTGGGAAGTTAAACCAATAATCAGTCTTCTTAAGGAAGCTAAACCCATATAAATAGGATTAAAACTCCTGAACAACGAAGAAGACCTAAGACCCATAGCTCCATGTGCAAAACTCAACTGGAATGCAGTCTTTACTTGGATGTATTTTATGGATGTACATAATGGATGAACTTGTTGTTTTGTGCAACACCCACATGGGAAGCTACTGCTCATCAGTGATATATTTTGTTAGATGAACATAAAGTTAAACAAAATTTGAATTGTCATTAAAATATGTTTATCCCTAGTCACTATATTAGGCTTTGCTTACTATCTTGCAGGTTATAGACCTTCAGTGTGCAGGGGTTTTGTGTGTGTGTGTGTGTGTGTGTGTGTATTCACCTATTTGTGCTTGTGGGGGTTGAGCTTTGGCTCTTTGGTCCCGCCTCTCAACTGCACCGTGTGTGTGTGTGTGTGTGTGTGTGTGTGTACTCACCTATTTGTGCTTGCAGGATCGAGCATTGACTCTTGGATCATGTGTGTGTGTGTGTGTGTGTGTGTACTTACCTAGTTGTGGTTGCGGGGGTTGAGCTTTTGCTCTTTGGTCCCGCCTCTCGACCGTTAATCAACTGATGTACAGATTCCTATCATATCTACATTTGAAACTGTGTATGGAGTCTGCCTCCACCACATCACTTCCTAATGCATTCTAGTTATTAACTACTCTGACACTAAAAAAGTTCTTTCAAATGTCTCTGTGGCTCATTTGGGTACTCAGCTTCCACCTGTGTCCCCTTGTGCATGTACCACCCGTGTTAAATAATCCATTCTTGTTCACCCTGGCAATTCTGCTGAGAATTTTGTATGTGGTGATCATGTCTCCCCTAGCTCTTCTGTCTTCCAACGACATGAGGTGCAGTTCACGTAGTCTATCCTCATAACTCATGCCTCTTAGTTCTGGGACTAGCCTAGTGGCATATCTCTGAACTTTTTCCAGCTTTGTTTTGTGCTTGACAACGTATAGGGTCCATGCTGGGGCCTCATATTCCAGGATTGGTCTTACATATGTGGTATACAAGGTTCTAAATGATTCCTTACACAGGTTCCTGAAGGCTGTTCTGATGTTAGCCAGCCTTTCATATTCCGCAGATGTAATTCTTTTTATGTGGGCTTCCGGACACAGGTTTAGTGTGATATCAACTCCTAGATCTTTCTTTTTGTCCGGTTTTCTAAAGTATTTCATCTCCTATTTTGTATCCTGTGTTTGGCCTCCTGTTTCCACTCCCTAGTTTCATTACCTTACATTTACTCGAGTTGAACTTTAGTAACCATTTGTTAGACCATTCATTCACTCTGTCTAGGTCATCTTGTAGCCTCCTATTTTCTTCCTCTGTGTTAATCCTCCTTATAATTTTTGCATCATCAGCAAACAATGAGAGGAACGATTCTATACCCTCTGGGAGATCATTTACATATATCAGATGTGTGTGTGTGTGTGTGTGTGTGTGTGTGTGCTCACCTAGTTGTCGTGCTTGCTGGGGTTGAGTTTTGGCTCTTTGGTGCCACCTCTCAACTGTCAATCAACTGGTGTAAAGGTTCTTGAGTCTTATCAAATGTGTGTGTATGTAAATTGATATGTAAATTTCAGTTCACAATATCATGGCAGAACAATGGGAAGGTGGATGGAAAATGATACATGAAAGATACACTGATATACAGTCAGAGAAACCCTGGGGGATGAGACGTAACCTCGGTGTGCCACAGTAGCATCACTTCCCTAGACTGGTCACTCACTGGCTCAGCTACATAGAACCATCTCTGAATTCATGTCAAACTATCGATCTGCCCATCCCTTCCTGAGCCATACTGACCATCCTTGTCCCTCACCAGCTCCCTTCCTCCTCCACCTTCCCGCTCCAGGAGTCCCTCACGTGGGAGGTTCGCCTGGAAGCGTCGAGGGCTGGAGAAGAGCAAGTCGCTGGACCAGTCTGAGTTTCTGGCCTCCCTTAATGGCACCACCAGCAGCACCACCACCACTTCCACCTCCGCCGGGGCAGGAGCTGAGACTTCCTGCTGCCACGTCTCCGCCTCTTGGGTGGACGACGACCACCATAGGGAGAGTGACTCGGATGATGGGGACAGAGGTAAGTATTTGTACTCACCTAGTGCAAGTGTATTGTGTGATAAGTGTGAGAGGGGGCCTGGCACGGTGCTTATCTATCAGGAACTATAGGGGACTAGTTAGTTAATTTAGTTAATTTATTATGCACCCCATACCCATCTTGTGGGCGGTAGTGGAAAGAGTTACAGCAGAGGTCTAGTTCTTTATATCCCACATTCTAGCCATTTATATCTGATGTGGTAATTACTTCTTTTGACAATTTTTGTTTTGAGACAGAGAGAGGCGGGGGGGGGGCAGACAATGAGTTATCAGAATAAAAAGGTGGAGGGAAATGGAAAGAGATAGTGAGTGAGAGGTAAGGTGAGGTAGTGAGGAGAAAATAAATAGTGAGACAGTGAGAGAGGTTTAGTAAAATTAAATTCACAATGAATTTGTCATCCTGGTTCAGTAGCAGAAGAGACAGCAACAGGTAGTCTATTGAGTGTGTAAGGAAATAAGAGCAAAAGATAAGTCAATTAAGGTCCTATTGCTTGGAAACTAATTATCAGAGAACACGGAGCGAGTGTAAGAGTGCTTTTGCTCACAATATATCCCTTACAACACTTATTTTTCCCTGAAATTCACATTATAATTTTTGGATTGTGCAGCATTAACTTACTTTAAAATGTCAGGGAGCCGACTCCTACACTGCATTTATATATAGCCACTAGTACGTGTAGCGTTTCGGGCAAGTCCTTAATCCTATGTTCCCTGGAATATGACCCCCCGCAAAGAATCGTTTTTACAACCAAGTACCCATTTTACTGTTGAGTTAAACAGAGGCTACAGTTAAGGATTTGTGCCCAGTAAATCCTCCCTGGCCAGGATACGAACCAAGGACAAAGCACTCGCGGAACGCCAGGCGAACGTCTTACCACTACACCGCGGAGATTGCATGCTTTTTACGACTTATGACTGCATGAGACTTTTATGCTTAGTTTAAGTTGGGTTAAGATACATCACATTGTTCATTCAGGTTACATGAGGCTCAGTAGGGTCAAAGTCTGCTAAATTGCTTGGCAACTAAGCAGTCTATAAGTGTGGTATGTTGGACTAAAATCAGGCACATGCCCACGTTGTTACAAACATATAATTTATACAGAATTGCCTTACATTAATTATACAATTAACCACCCTCCAACCCTTGTTTAACCACCTCAACCGTTTAACCACCCCAACCGTTTAACCACCCCAACCGTTTAATCGCCCCAACCTTCTTTTAACCTCCCCCAACGTTTGTTAAACCACCCCCACCTTCGTTTAACCTCCCCCACCTTCGTTTAACCTCCCCAACCTTCATTTAATCACCCCCAACCTTCATTTAACCTCTTCTAACCTTCGTTTAACCACCCCCAACCTTCGTTTAACCACCCCCAACCATCGCTGATTAAATCTTGCTTTCTAGGAAATGACTCGGACACAGGATCCTCCCCATCCAGAGTAGTCTCGGGTCCTGTGGTAGAAGAGAGTGTGGAAGGTTCCAAGGACCCCTGGTGGAGGCAGCTGGAGATGCGGGTGGTGGCTGCTGTGGGTGAGCTCCTCAGGGACTTCTCTGAGGTGGCCGAGGAAGAACTACCTGATGGAGACCCTGAAGGCGACCAACTCTCTGTCAAGAAGTACTAGTCTTGGTGTTTGTGTTTTGTGTGTGCTGGTTCATATTTTCAGTTCTCTTGTGACTTATTCACCTCGATATGTATTTAACAAGTCATGTTTTCTACTTATTTTTATTAATTTAATTATTCATAATGTACCATGTTATCCATTTTTTCATTAATATTATTATTTATTAATAGTAGTTGTTACTGCCACTTATATTAATTTATTAGCTTTATACCACCCTTTCGACACATTTGAAAACCTATGTTATTATTTTTATTAATAGTTGCATGTATATTTTTGTCATCATCATCATCTCACCAGTGATTTTCTCAAACTGCTTCAATTGTAGCTTACACATAGCATGGAATTCTGTAATGTGCTGTATTGATTTAGTGCTCGAAATCTCAATGTTAATACTTGTAGAACATATATAATTATTTTCACTGTGGAGTAGGGATTGTAGTCTTTTGTTGACATATTTTTCATATAAATTTCATGTTGTTTCTGATCTGGGCCCCATAGACATGGAGAACTTATAATTAATGTACCACGGCTCAGGAGATTTGGTAAATAATGTTAAATTGTTTTTATAAAGTTGTTAATTACATGTCAATGTCAGTATTACATATATAATATCTATCTCTGGCTCTTACTGTTGTCAGACTAAAAGAGAACATCCTGAGGTTTGGATCTGTGATGCGACCCCTGACAGATCTGTCAGCAGCAGTAACGTCTCTGCTTAGGTGGGAGTCTCCTTCAGCAACCCTCCTCGCCCTCGTCATCTACCTGTATAGCGTCCTCTTCGGCTGGGTCCTCCCTCTTGTGCTCCTCATGGCCATTCTCAGACTCTCCATCAACTATATGAAAAAGAGGTGATGGAATATTAATGCGATTAGAATATATTTTTAAAATTGGAGTCAATTGTTATACTCATATCTTGGAGCCTAAGTTTGATCTTGTATTATATTTTTTGTCTTATGATTTATCATATTCTGTTCTGACATCTTTATTTATTGTTTAGTTTATATTTTTCCCTATCTAAACACTCCCTTATCTCCCTCTCTGCACCATTCATGACTTGCAGACATCTTCAGACAACAATTTAATGTACTCAGGAAAGTAAAGCTTGTATAATGTATTAATATTTTTTTAGAAAATCTTTTACTGTCTGTGATATAGTCATTGCATGCATTCATTTTTAAGATACCATATTATTACCCTAGATGCAATGACTTACCATACCACCCTTTTCTCACATTTTTTCTTCGTTACTTTACTATGTATTAATATTTATCCTGTATAGATGGTGTGTTTTTTTCTCAACCATATATCTTGTCTTACAGAGGGTGGACACAAAACTTCTTTCGTCGTCTGCGTCGTGAAGGTGGTGAGTCAGTAGAACCAACCACTACTGAAGCTGCAGGTTTAGGGGACAAGTTCGCCCTAGTGCTTCAGGTGGCTCGGAGAGTTCAAAATCAGCTTGGTGCTGTCTCCAATGCTGCTGAGAAGCTCAAGAAGTAAGGCTGAGTGTGAATGTATTTAGGTTTATCACCAGGTTAAACTGTGTGGTTATCACCACGTAAGAAGGTAGATGTGTGTCTGATCAAATTTATGTATAAAGTACATCTGGTTTTCAGATTTGGCACAATACTTTATTGTTCATAATACTATTATTATTATTATTATTATTTTTATTTATTATTACTATTATTTATTATTATTATTATTATTATTATTGCACAGAGAAATCCCATTATTGTGTTATATTAATATTATTATTATTACTACTAGTGGTAATACTACTAGGAGGGGTACCTGGCAGTGCCCATTATATAGAGAAAAAGATAATACAGCAGAGTAGAGGGTGGGTATATTTTAATGATATTTTGCACATATTTTTAAAGGTGATACTGTATAAGGAAAATACTCATGTCTGTGAGTTTCCTTCAGTAAGGGAAATGGTTATTTTATGCTTAAAATCATTTAGGGAAATGTGATATTAAAGATTTTATTTGTATTTTATATACACGGGTTTGTCTAAATCATATAGTACACAAAGCTACGAAAGTTGACAAGCACTGGTTTTGTCTCTCTTAGTCTATTGTTGTGGGAACACGAGGCTACACGACGTCTCTACTTCTTCCTGTGGCTAGTGCTGCTGGCTTCTGTGCTTCTGCCTGCAGCTCAGCTCTTCACACTCATCGGTGTCTACTTAGGTCTCAAGTTTTTTGTACTCGATTTCATTTTCTTCCGATATCCAAGAATTAGACTCAAGTACGACTCCACCTCAAGGCTGTGGGACACACTTCCCACTGATGCAGATCTTGAACGTCGGGGAGATAAAGTGAGTTAAAAAGAGATGATGAGTCAGTGAGGGGTGTCATGTTAAGATAGTACAGTACTATAGTTCAAGGTAATCATTTTATTCTCCTTTTTAAATACAGTTAAACAATGATATTTATCTGGTAATTGTGGTAGAACTGAGATATTTTCCTTACCATTGCTGCAGAACTGAAATATAAAAACAGATATATTTAACATTTCAGAATCGTACAGATAACGGTAACTCCTCACCAGATCTGACGTCATTCTTAGAACTGTTTAGTCTGCCTGCCACAGAGACTCCCCTGCCAGGTGTGTGTTCCTTTCTAGTCTGCTCCTTCCTGTGTGATTACTTTAATTGTCCCTCAGTTGTACTGTGTCTAATATATATGTTAATTTAAATCACGAGGTCTCCCAAAATCTCTCTTCTCTTGAGAAATAATTTTCTCTTTTTTTTCTCAAATTTTCTTTTTGAAAAAAATATTCTCATTATTCCAATACAGTATTTTAAAAGACCATCTTCTAAAAGGATTTCCTTTAACAGGGTTTGTTTCTTTTATGCAGACTCCTCTTCAAAATTCAATTTTTATAACCACTATTATAAAATCATGCTTTTGCCATATGTACAATTTTATTCTTAGATTTTCTCAGTATTTTCTAGTCTCACATATATTTGTCATGCTCTTCAATTATCTTTTACTTGAAAGTGTATATGGTGTTGTTATTTTTTATGATGAACCTAGTGTGTGTTTCATCACCATTATCAATATCCTAATCATTATTTGAATCATCATTATCATTATTTTAATCATCACCATAATTATTACCATCATCAATCTGTTTTCAATGTTAATGGGATGGACAAATAATTTTCCTCAGATGCTACAGTATGAATGTCCAGGAGATTAAAGATTTTCAATGTGACACCTGTCTTTTTAGAATGACACCTCTCCTTTTCAGAGTGAAGAGAGACTATTTGGTGACACTTCTCTATTCAGTAACACCCATCTTTCAAAGTAACACCTGTCTTTTCATTGCAATACCCATCTTTTAGAGTGATAACCATCTTTTCAGTGTGATACCCATCTTTTCGATGTGACACAAGTCTTTCATTTACCTGAATTATCTGAGTGCTACTATCTCTCTAGTGGCATCAGCGAGTACAGGAAGCCAGCAGCTTGTCAAATGCTCTGCATTTATCCTGATGATTTTCTCTATTTTTGTCATAAATTGCAGCAGTATTTTGGCATTTGCAGCTTTGGCAGGTAGACAATCCCATACGTTTATAACATTATGGGTGAAAAATCATCTCCTGTTTCCTGTTATGCATTGTAGCTTGTTGAGCTTGAAAACATTGCTCCTTTTTGTGTTACATCTGACCTTGTGAAAAAGTACTGTAGTCTGGATCAATCTTTCTTCACCTCTTTAACCTTCATTCATGCATGGCCATGCAAATAACAACAGTGGGTTCCTCAAGGCATCTCTTTTAGTAGGTGGTGTGGTGGTCTCATCGGATTTGTATCTGACTACGTGTGGTATCTAGCAAAATCTTACACGTGGTGGACATATGTGACTGGTCGGCATGGGTGGTGCAAGAGGTGTTTTCCGCTAACGCGATGACACGTGTTCAGTAAGACAATGGATCGTGACTTGGGCTTTACATAGTGTGGGCTTCACTACTTAATATAGACAGTACATCACAATGGTTCACACGAGGTTAAGGAGCTGTTTTTTCAAAAAAAGTTTTTTTTGTGTTTGCCTGTCACAGGTGTGGCATCTGTATAGTAGGTATATAAAAACACATGTGTATTCTAATGGAACATTGTGTCAAAATTTCAAAACAATCAGTGAAGAACTTTTGGAGATTACAGCGTGTGTTGCTCTTACGTCCAACAGATGGCACTGTTTTTCAAAAAGTGCATGTTTTTTTCTGTCACAGGTGAGGCATGTATATAGTAGGTAGGTGATGAGTCACAATAACGTGGCTGAAGTATGTTGACCAGACCACACATTAGAAGATGAAGGGACGACGACGTTTCGGTCCATCCTGGACCATTCTCAAGTCGATTGAGAATGGTCCAGGACGGACCGAAACGTCGTCGTCCCTTCAACTTCTAGTGTGTGGTCTGGTCAATATATAGTAGGTATATAAAAACACGAACTTATTCATATGGAACGTTGTGTCAAAATTTAAAAGAAATCGTTGAAGGGGTTTCGAAAATTTTCCACTCATGAAAAACACCTTAAAAACACAGTTTAAAACAAAAACATTATTTTTTCCTATCACAGACATGACATCTATATAGTATATTTATAAAAACCTGCTCGGATGTGAATGAAATGTTGTGTGAAAATTTAAAAGCAATCGATGAAGGATTTTCGGAGATTAGCGATTTTTAACAAACGAACATTTACATTTTTATTTATATAGATTAATTAGTATGAGTAAAGTAAATGGTGTCTATATATCTATACTTATATATTCATAAATATGATACAGTACAGTACTTATATTTTCAAAGTTATACATATTAAACAGTACCTTTGACACATAAATGCAACCTGTTAGCATAAAAAAATATGAATAAAGTGGAAAATAATGAAAATAAGTAAACAAAGTTATTTCCATGCCATGCTTCATTCCAATGTACCTCACCTAATTTATACAAAAAAAAAAAATAATAAAAAATTCTCTGGGCCATTACATGTAAAGCACAAGAGGTAGAGACTTTATATTTGGATTTTTGTGCTTCCTGGAGGCTAATTAACAATTTCCAAAGAAAAACTAGTTTTTTCAGAATTGGTTTTTGCTTGCACACCATGGGAATGGTCTGCATGCATTTATTATTTATTATTCATCTATTAACAGTTGTGTAGCCCAGGTGGTTAAGCTTAACATGCTTCAATCCATACCTTTTGTACTTAGTACAAACCGTGCTGCAACCTCATTTCTTCAGTACATGTTAGAGGTCACCTAGGCATAGTGATGTCATGGCTGCATGTTTATGAGGTAAATGCCAGCCATTTATTCCATTCTAAAATACCTCTTCCACACATTCTCTCATCATAGATGTCTATATTTTGGCCTTACTTTTTATGTAGCTGTGCAGTATTGTAGGCTTTTACACTGTGAGTGGAGGTTAGTCTGTTTCTTTATAAGTTTTACAAGGAACACGTATTATATTGAACTTAGTTGAATTGCATTAAGTTCTAGGTCCCTGACGTATAACTTTGATGATCAATCATTCTCAGTTTACCAGGTGTGAGGAGGCATGCACAGGCTGAGTAATGAGATTTACAATCAACTATGGAATTTCCATTTTGTTGTAATAAGGACAGGTGTATTTCCATTTTCCAATTTTTGCATTATATCATTTAGTATTTTTTATGCAAATGATACTATAGGGAGAAGCAGTGGATGTTTCTTTGGTTTACACATATGGATTACTATATTAAAAGTACAATGCAATTATGACAACATTTTGATGACAGTAAACTAATTGTTGCAGTATTTATAGCTGGATATTTTGGATTCTTACTGTTGTTCTTGTTGCAATTAAGACAAATTACTGGTAGCTAGAATGTGTAGAGTAAAATGCTGCATATGCAAATATTCTATGATTTCAAATAAAGGCATACAAAAAAAAGTGCTTAGTTGCATATTTAAATTTTGTAATGTAAATTTTGTAATGTAAATAATACATATACTAAATTTTAAGGCAAAAACAAGTACTGAAATGCTAAAAAAATTAAAAATTATATATTTTAAAATGTTCTATCACTCAACTAAATCTAAATACTAATCTTACAGGATGGCAAAGTGGGCGTCGATGTACTCTAGTCAACCGAGATCGATCTCTCACTTCAGCTTTTAAAAATGGTCGTCTCTACCTCACCAACAGGTTAGCAAAGCAAGACAGACAAATCGCCTCCTCTACCAAACTAACAGCATCAACTAACAAAGTTACATCATCTAACAAACAAATAGTCCCTAACAGCCCCAAGGGAAATCAGAGTGCAAAATTACCAATATTATTTACTTCAAAGCAAATTGTAGATGGGACAAGGAGAAGTTCCCTTCCAGGGCTTCCAAAGACTCAATACGATCCAGTTACTTTGACCTCTGGCTTTAGCTTCCTTGGTAAGGGAAGCAAGACACCAAAGATCAAGGAGCTTAAAGAATACAAGGAAGATGAAGTAGATATCCTTGAAAAAATATTTGAGAGCACAGATGATGAAGAACCCATTACCACATCGAAGGTTTTCCGAAAGAGTGACACAACAAAGGGCAGCTTACCATCCATTCCATCTAGAAATCTAACTCTCCATATGTGGAAAACACACAGTGAATCTGACTCCACCTCTAAAGATCTCCGACCTAAGACTTTTGGTAGGAGAAGAAGAGCCATGTTTAGCTCTGTTAATGAACAGTGTGAACTACATCCAGCATTCCCTGTAGAAGAAGATATAAAGGAAGATAGCAGTACTCTTGATACTAAGGGAATACGAGACATCAAAGATCACACACAGAGAGACAATGAAAGGTCAAAGACCAAGAAGTTGCGTTTGGCAAAGTTGAAGGTGATGAATCCAGATGAACCAAAAGTAAAGATTTCAGTCACTGACAGATTAAATGAACGTGTTTTCTATGCTCTATGATGTATCAGAAACAAACTTTGTCAATCTCAATGAATGTGTTTTCAAACTAGTTTACTGTGAGGGCAATTGGATAATGCCAGATAAATTGGGTGACAAAACAGACATATAATACTGTTGTTAGAATTTATCCAGAAACTTAGACTTCTTGGAGAAAACTACTGAAACTTGTTCCATTAAGGATTTTGAGCATTTGTTTGTGGGTCATGAACTATGAAGTCATGTTGATCTCACACCATGTGATAGGTTTTAACCAAGATGCAGAGCTTCATTTTTAGTTCAAAATTACCGGTGACAAGGAGTACACTCATCCACATTTGTGTATTGTAAGAAATAAATATGTTGCACTCCTAATGTTTATATAGATACGCAGTATATGTATCACCAATGTGTAAGATGTTTAATCTAGCATATACCTTTTATTTATATATATATATATATAGAATATGTTAATATTTTTTTACTGTTATCCTAAAATGAAATAATACTCTTATCTCAAAAAGTCATTTAAAGTCATTAAAGTCATTAGTATTAACTTTTAAGTTGCATAAAAAAAATATATATTTTAGGAACTAGATTATTGTATATACAGTACTGTACTGTATATAAAGTTGTTGCCTTGTGACTAGATATTTCTTGTTGATAGTTAGATTCAAGTACATAAATGGTGTGCCAATCCATAAAGATTTTCAGGTGACACAAAACTTACTTCTTTATTTTTTCAAAAAACAAAACACATCTCATACGGGTAATAATACACATTCATCAGTCTTTTGTCATGACTGGTAGATCTTACTACTGTTGGTTGAAATCCATAATCTGCTATGTTATTTCCAACTGAATGAGGTAGGATTTTCTGATGCAAGAGATTTTACCAGTCCAGGATCAACAACAATCAACATTGGAAATTCACTGAAAAATAATAATATTGGACATTCCATGGAAAGTAACAATATTGGACATTCCATGGAAAATAACAACACTAATACTGGACATACTCTGAAAAGTAACAACACTAATATTGGACATACACTGGAAAGTAACAACACTAATATTGGACATACACTGAAAAGTAAAGATACTGTACTGACCAACATTGGCTGCACCTTTGAAATTAACAACACCATGTTAACTGTTAACTTTGTTATTATTCAAATAATAAACTCATCCTATCTAGAAGTTTACCTTATTTCTTCATTCTGAGCTACAGCACTTAGTTGGTTCATAATACTAGTTGCTAATAGTTTCCAGGGCAGGATCTGGAACAGTCGGGATAACTCAATTCACAACACCAGTGCACCAGGGATTTTTAAACATTCTTGCTGGGTTGAATTGGAGAAAGGGAGACACTACAAAATACTCATCCAGCCTGGAATGACTTCCGAAAGTTTCATTCCAATATCTACTCAAATACCTTCATTGTGATACAGTAGCATTATGAGAACTGCCAAGAAGTATTCTTGGTGAGCACCAAATGTCCCACATGCTTGTTACACCCAACCTCATTCAGGTGGCAGTACCTACACAACAAAATCCTCTTCATCATTGTTTTTAACCGGTCTTCTACTCAGTTGAGTTCAGGTCACCAGAGTTTAGTTAAGTGACATGTGAATGTCTTTGGTGTATATGCAGGCTATATAAGTCAGTTGGAGTGTCTTTTAACTTAGATCAACAATTTCTAGTTCTGGTTCAGTGTGCATCCACTGTGGTTTTTCTCCTCTTGCTGTTTTCACAGCATTTCCAGGTCCTCTGAATTCTATTCCCAGACATAAATATTTATTAGCTGTGTATTGGAGTATACCAGCCACTGTGTCACCAGTGTGTGTTCATGCCCTCACATTTTGCTTCAGTGATGAGTTAATCTTGCCTGGCTGATTTTGTGTTTTTAAATCTTTCTTGCGGTTGCCAAGGTTGGTTAGAGAATGCTGAGAATTCATGATTTGCAGCTAAGTCCCTTCTTCTTACTGTGAGTCCTGGACATTAGTCCTGGTGATTTTAGTTTGCTTATCTTTGCTGTGAGCTATTGCAGACCAGTTCAGGGATTCCTCAGCTGCTGTGTTTCAGCATGGAGAACCATGTGGTGTTTTTAACTCTGAAGGTCACTACAGCCCCCAACACTCCCTAGGGTCATATTTAGTCTTGCATGAAAAAAATTAGTTTTGCATGTCACCTATTTTTGGTGATTTTTTAATGTTACCACCAGTGGCATCTAGGTTACTGTACATCTCATACTCATCTTGTGAGAAGTAGGGCCAGAGGATTACAAAGGGCACAAAAGGTCTTAATCAGACTTTTGTGGGGATTTGACATTATCTTCTACAAATTATGTGCACACTTTATTATTAATTACAATTAATGTTAATTACAAATTACAATTAATTTTAATTACAAAACTTTCTAAAATCAGATATTATGTCCCAAACTCTGCTCTCCTCCCATTATACTACAACTACACACTAAGCTATCCCTATTTTACATACGGTACTTGTGCATGGGGTTCAACCACTGCAAACTACCTCAAGCTCATCATCACACAGCAAAAAACAGCTAAATTTTTGTGTGCATTATTGGGCATGTCCTTAAGCTAAAGAATAAAGATAACAGAATTGGAGTTAAACATAATTACTAAATTACAAATTGATAGAATAGACCATATTGATGAAATTGAATGTCTTAAGTACTAAATTGGGTGAGTGGGGTAGGACAAGGTGGGAAACTTTGAGGATGAAGTTAGGTACTTTTGGTTTTACTTTTAAATTAAGTGTAGGTATAAATAAAGTATAAAGTATATAAGTGGGAGTGAACATTTGTAGTGTTCACTCCCACTTATGAAGTTGCTGATTTCAGGAATTCCTCTTTTTCAATTTTTGTTGATTCATGTTAGTATTTTGTAAGTGGTGATCATATCACCTCTTTTTCTTTTATCTCCTAAATTTGGCATGCTTAACGCCTCTAGTCTCTCCTGATAACTCGTGTTTCTCAGTTCACAAAGCCATTTTGTAGCATACTGTTGCACCTTTTTCAGTTTCCAAATGTATTTCTTGAAATATAGGCACCATACAACTGCTGCATATTCCAATTTTGGTCACACAAAAGTCATGAACAATTTCTTTAGCATCTCACCATCCATATAATTAAAAGCATGTCTGAAGATGGAGAGCGATGCATACACTCCTCTCTCAATGTTCTTTATGTGTTCCTCTGGCGACAGCTTTCCATCCAAAACCACCCTTATGTTTCGTTCTTTATGAGAGTTCTGTAATTCCTCTCCACATAATTTGTACGTTGTGTGTGGTCTATTTTCTCAGATTTCACAGTCCATAACATGGCATTTATTCACTCTGAATTCCATTTGTCACTTGATACTCTAAGCACATATTTTATCTAGATCAATTTGAAAACCATTACAATTGTCTGCATCTCCTATCTTCCCCAGTATCTTAACATCATCCACAAACATGTTCATATAACTCTGTATTCCTTATGGCAGATAGTTTATGTAGATGATGAACATTACTAGTGCAAAAACTGAACCCTGTGTATATGTATGTATGTATGTATGCATGTATGTATGTATGTATGTGTGTGTACGTGTGTGTGTGTGTGTGTGTGTGTGTGTGTGTGTGTGTATGTATGTATGTATGTATGTATGTATGTATGTATGTATGTATGTACTCACCTAATTGTGCTTGCGGGGGTTGAGCTCTGGCTCTTTGGTCCCGCCTCTCAACCGTCAATCAACTGGTGTACAGATTCCTGAGCCTATTGGGCTCTATCATATCTACATTTGAAACTGTGTATGGAGTCAGCCTCCACTACATCACTTCCTAATGCATTCCATTTACTAACTACTCTGACACTGAAAAAGTTCTTTCTAACGTCTCTGTGGCTCATTTGGGTACTCAGCTTCCACCTGTGTCCCCTTGTTCGCGTCCCACCAGTGTTGAATAGTTCATCCTTGTTTACCCGGTCGATTCCCCTGAGGATTTTGTAGGTTGTGATCATGTCCCCCCTTACTCTTCTGTCTTCCAGTGTCGTAAGGTGCATTTCCCGCAGCCTTTCCTCATAACTCATGCCTCTTAGTTCTGGGACTAGTCTAGTAGCATACCTTTGGACTTTTTCCAGCTTCGTCTTGTGCTTGACAAGGTACGGGCTCCATGCTGGGGCCGCATACTCCAGGATTGGTCTTACATATGTGGTGTACAAGATTCTGAATGATTCCTTACACAGGTTCCTGAACGCCGTTCTGATGTTAGCCAGCCTCGCATATGCCGCAGACGTTATTCTCTTTATGTATGTATGTATGTATGTATGTATGTATGTATGTATGTATGTATGTATGTATGTATGTATGTATGTATGTATGTATGTATGTATGTATGCATGTTAGGCATATATCAAGGTTCCAAAAAATATCAAACTACTGATCCTTCCTAGAATGCCACCCCCACAACAAGCTGACTAACTCCTGAATACCTATTTACTCCTAAGTGAACAGGCACATTAGGTGATAGGAAATACACCAAGTCATTTCTGTCCCACCTGGGATTTGAACCAGAAATTCCTAATTGTGGCCCCATGTGCCATTGGAACCCCTTTGGTATTTTGACTTGGTGTTGGATTTCCTTAATTTATCTTGGCATAAAGTTTTCCCAACATTTGAGAATCTGAATTTATCCGAATTTACCTGAGAGCCACTATTTCTTTTGTCACCTCAACAAGAACAGGAAGCAGGTGGCTTGTCAAAGGTCCTCACATTTCTCCTGATGATTCTATTGCGCTGGATTTTGAAATTCAGCAGTGTTTTGGCATTTATGGCTTTGGCACATCAGTAGTTCCATGGGTTAATAACCCTTGGAAGCACTGACCTGTTAAGAAAACCAGTAGGATCTGGCCTAAGGGAACAACTGAGCTCCTTGCTCAGAAAGATGACTATTAGTATACACTTTTTCTTTTCTTTTTTTGGGGGGAGGGGGAAGAAGGGTAAGAATGAATTTATGTACAGGTATTGTTTTTAATATTTTTTTTATATATTTTAACTCTATGGGCTAAAAAGTACCTCCTGTTTTGTTTTCTATATTATGGCTAGTTGAGCTTGAAACCATTTCTCCTTGTTTGTGGTCTCAGCAATGGTCAGTTGTCTTAGTGGGTTACACACACCCTTGTTCATAAAATTGGTTTGTGATCTATACAATAAGGCCTGTATATTCTAGCTGCTTTGCAGAGTGGTCAGAATGAGTCTGGTAAAGTTTGCCAGTCTTAAGACATAAGACATTCGCTTCTGCTGTGTTCTGTGCATAGCTCCATAGCTCCATGGTTTTAGTATTTGATTCATACCTTGATTCCTCATCTGCACCATCATTATGTTGCCTTGGGCAGGCTATTTTCCAGACGACTGTCTTCTCTTCTGATGGATCATAGTCAGTGATGGAAATAGTAGGGAGAATATGTGGGTGTATGGCACATGCCTACTTTTCAATTTTCATTTTATTTTATGTTAAATTTCTTTTTTGACGGAGACATTTATTTGACACTCTGTCAGATTTCCCTCAATTTAAATTGCTTGTTTGTGTGTTATAATTATACATGAACCACTTTGAGATCCTTGAGCATAAATCCTGGATACAACCCTAGGTATACCTAGTTCCCAAAATCCATTATTTCACTGAAGGTAGTGACAGGCTTGCACAGTTCCTGGTACTGCTGATCACTTCCTGACGTTTCTTCTGGCACCACATTTTTGCTCTTCACTGTTGAAGTATTTCTTCTCTTGGTAGTTAAGTTGAATGTTGCTAGGCTAGAGACAGGGTTGCCCCGCTGCAGAGCTGTTGCTGTCAACTAGTGGCAGTAGGGAGTTGTGCCTGCAAAGCAATTTGATAGTTACAGAGAGCTCTTGGAAGGACATTGAGTATTTATAATGAACCATCTTGAAGGCATTCTTGGGTGGATGAAAATGTTCTTGTTTGCCCTACTTCTAATATGATTTGGAAGCAGCATTTTAACAAATCTTTGCAGCATCGATATGGAATGTTGGTCAGCTATGACTGTTGCAGATCGTGCTGTTGCAGATCCTGCCAAGAGAACCAGTAGAATCTGGTCTCAGGGAACAACCAAGTGCCTTGCTTAGAAAGATGACTATCAATATTTATAATCTTTTCTGGGGGGAGCCCCGGAGG